AAATAATGTGTTAGGCCTATTTCAAGCACGAATTACAGTCTCTTTAAAGCATTGTAAAAAAAGGTACAGTTCTGTTACAATTATAGTTTTCTTAACAATTTTGTTGACATTGTGCGACATGACATAATTTTTTATTTTATCTACATTTAAAATAATCAGTGATCTAGATTTTGACACTACACATAATGTGAAAAAAGATATACATTTTAATGTTCAAATAGCATAATCCAAAAAGATAAGACTTGTATGGTTTGGCCTACCAACTTACATCCTTAGTACCCCATCATTGCATAGAAACATGTAATTTCAAACTTTGTGTAGTGGGGGGAAATAAAAGAAAATTTCTTATGTAAATAACTTACTATTTTTCTTGAACAATAAATTAAATATTATTATCTTAACTCATTTACGTATGATTAAATTCTTTTAGCTTAGCCAAACATGGCAGAACTCAAACAAACTTTTTTCTTCCATATGGCCTTCTATTTTAGATGCTAGCCAGAATGCTATCCCAAGTCTACATATAGTGGCCTTTTACCATCATTAATTTCATTAATCACAACGTACTAGCTGGTTATACATTTTAGGTACAATTCCGAATTTCACAGAAATTGGAAAGGAATTACACATTTTATGTACATTGGTTTTGCATTGCAATAGTACTATCAAAATCTAGCCAACAGAGTCTTAATCGCCTTCGCGTTCATCTAGACATTATTTACACACTGGAACCCGCTGTTAGGGTGCAAATGTCATCGGTCCAAAAAAAGTACTAACCAGTTGAGCTCTGACTGACATTCAAGTCTACTACTGAAAGGAGAAGGAATGAGTGCAAGTTTTAAGAAGGTGAGGAGATTTGGCTAAGGTTTAAGAATGCTTACCTGGGTGTGAAAATGAGCTCACATAGATATAGAGGAAGAGAAATGGGTTAAGTTGAATTAGTAGATTGGGTCCGAGCCAAGGTTGAAGAAGAGGTTACTTAATTTAACTGGTCCAATTCAATTGACTTAATAGATTGTCGAGTAAACTAATGTAGGCCCCCTTAATCACGTGTAGGTCACTTAATTTATAGGTATAGCAATGAGAACCACGAAAAATTATTTTTTCATGGTAGCTAAATGTTATCGTAAAATACTTTTCACGTAGTGGAAAATATGTGTTTCATGGTGGACAAGTTGGACGTGATTGAGCTTGCGAAACTCTTTGTATGATGTATACGTGATTAAGAAAATCAACCCGTAGTACCTACCTACAAATGGACCACATCACATTCTAAAGCGTGCACTAGTGGGAGTTGCCCTAGGATGATTTCATTTTGTGTCTTACTCATAGTTTGAACCTATGTAATTGTAAATTTTGCATTCATTTTGTTTACAAAAGTCTCATGAGACATGCTTCATTTGCCCATATTGCAGGCTAATTGGTGTAACTGCATGTCATAATCTTGATAATGTCCAAATCCAAATTTGGGTGCATGAACACAGCCCATATTTGAAGTCAACTATCAAGATTTTCTTGAATATACACAAGAGTTTCAACTCTTTGCATTTGACAAGTATAGTAAAACAAGAGATGGGACTAATTTGTTTAACTTTAGCATGCATGTTGCATGTCATAATCATGATAATGTCTAAATCCAAATTTGGCTGAATGAACACAAAATCCACATTTGGAGTCAACAATCAAGATTTTCTTGAATGTACATACGTAGAATTTCAACTTTTAGCATTTGAAATGTGCAGTAAAAACAAGCAAAAACCAAACCGGATTATAAGCAAAAACCGCAAAACCGAACTGAACCGAACCGAAACCACAAAACCGGAAAATCGAACCGAAACTGCATAATTATAAGTACACTCCTCCATAATTATAAGCAAAAATCGCAAAATCGGAAAATCGAACCGAAACCACATTTTAGAAACCGTCGATTTGATACCCCGTGGACTCGGTCAATGAAATGGTTTTGACCCAAACCAAACCGGTCAAAATGGTTTGGTTTAGGTTTGAGAATTTTAATTGCAATTTAAAATCAAACCGGATCGGCGAAAAAATATATAAAAATAAAAAAATAAAAAAATGAAAATTTTTGAAAATTCATCCAAATATGTAAAATTCAATAGTTTTGTCATTTGTGGGTATTTTTGTCAATTCCTAATTTTCTAATATAGATATATTATTATCATCATCATCCAATAATCCTAATATATATTTAATAATTTTAAGACTAATATAATCTATCAAAAGCCTTTTTCCTCTTTAAAATTTAGATGAACTCCAGTCGACACCCAACACAGTTTTGAGCCACCGGCACTACACACTTCTTTTCAGATTTTTCACGCATCTTCATAGTTGAATTGAAGTCCATTATATCAAATTGGAGACAAAGAGATCCTAGACCTTCGGTGATAATATTTGCTACAAATAAAGTTTCAGATCAATAATTTTTTGATAAAGTTTCAGATCAATAGTTTTTTGGAGCAAACTAAGGTAAGAATCTGAAATTAAATGTGTTTCGTAACATCATACAAACGTAAACTTGTGTAATTGTTATGTTTAGATATTATAAACAATTGCTTTATTATTGTAGTTGGTTATTCTCTTTGTTTAATCAATATCTTTTTTTTTTCAGATATGATGATCATGAGGTCTTGTTAGACATCATTATATTTTTTGGACCTTATAACTAGTTTAGTAGACTTGTATTGTAACGTTATTGTATCGTCATTAACATAAAAAAGGTGAACAAAAATGAAAAAAAAATATATGTTTTAATTTATTGTGATTTCACTTTGATTTAGTTAATATTTAAATTTATAGTTGATATATTTAGCCTCTGTTTGAGTCATATTTTTCATATCATCATAATGAGAAAATTGATTATTGGAGGGGAGGTTGGGTCCCACACATGAAATAGCAAATCAACAAAGACGGCTGAACTTGTGGAATAACGATCCAAATTTTAATTTTTTTTCCCAAAATTTTGGTTCAAACAGGGGTTTAGTTTGTTTTAGATTTATTACTAGTGAGATATAAATATATATTAAATTTAATGAATTAATGACATAAAAGTAGACGGGCAAAAAAATATATGGCGAAACCGACGGTTTAGAACTAGACCAAACCGTTAGGTTTAGGTTTAGGTTTAGGTTTGAATTTTTTCAAACCGTTCAAAATGATTTGGTTTAGGTTTGAGTTTTTCTCAAACCGTTTTAAACGGTTTGGTTTGAAAATTTGTCAAAAATCGGTAAAATCGGACCGCTTACACCTCTAGTAATAGAGACCATAATTATATGGGTTAGTGAAAAACTTCATAAGAGGCACCGAGTAACTCTTAGAGTTTCTTCTTCTAAGAAAGATCGCAGGAAGACTGAAATATCTACTTTCATAAACTTCATCCATTAGAGGGATGCCCGGATTGCGATGAATGTAGTAGATGTAATGCTTGGTATGGGTAAGCCTATATACACACAGGGGCGGACCCATTAAGGGCCGAGCGGGTCGGTCACTCTCACTGAATTTCCAAAAATTTTCAATTGGACTTTTTTAAATTTAAACTTTTAGATTTTTCTGGTTTTTTTTCGCAATATATTTTAACCTATTTTTTGTCTTGCCCTCGCTCAACCATAATTTTGGGTCTGTCCTTGTATATACAGTACACGACAACTTTATAACTATATCTCAACATAGTATAAAAACCATTTACTAAGATTAATGTATTTGTATGCAACCCGTTTGACCTCCATTTTGTACAAATGAAAATGAGTGAAATAGTATTTTTTTGAAAAATGAGTGGTTGAAAAAGAAAAAAAAATTTAGTTACATGTAATATTATTTTATGGAAGATTGTGTGGTTGGAAATAAGAAATAGAAAAATGGAATATAATTAAATGAAAATTAATGAGCCCAAATGGGGGCTAAAATTAAAGCAATAGTATGATTAGCCAAAAAGTCAACTATGTTATGCTTCTTACTTCTCCATGAGATGAGATTACCGTCAACAAAAAACTCATACCTTGAGGTGGATCTTCGATAACTAGTGGACCTAGCCTAGTCTGCATCGAAAAATCTTTCACTTCAAATTCGATAAATGTTGATTGATCGTATATTTCACTATAGTTAGGAGTTCTAAAGGCAATCTTTTCCGCATTCACGGGAATCATCTTGATTTGGTTGCTCATTTGGCTGAGATCTTGCTTGGAAAAAGTTATTATGTATGTGTGTGTGTGTGTGTGTATATATAAGGTTTCATTTTCGTAATGTAAAATATCTTTATATTATATTCAGCAATTAAAATAATAAGTTTATTTTTATTCTTTATGTATTTCTTAATTAAATGAAAGAAAGACACTTTTTATTCGATCCAAATAACTCATATCTGATCCAAATAACTCATATCTGAGCAATTCTTTGTGTTGTTCAAGCAGCTTGCTTTTACTTTTCCATAATTAACTGAAGTCGTAAGTCCTACATGTTATTCATTCGATCCACAACTTTCTTTTGTTCCATGACAAAAATTTGAACACGGTTTTGAAAGTCGATAAAAAGAAATGTCGAAGACAGAGACAAAATTTAAATAAATGTGTACTAAAATGATTCAACACTTGAATCATGTCAGTACTTTCTAACAACCACTTAAATTTTAATATAATGGCGTGCAATCACAAGGAGCGTACCCAGAATTATTCTTTGCGAGACGGAAATTTGGTTAAAATAAATTCTGAAAAAGCCAAAAAAATCTGAAAATTTAAATTTAACAAGGTCGAATTGAATGTTTTTCGAAAATTTAGTGTGGACAGCCGACCCCACTCGTCCCTTAGTGAGTCTGCCCTTGGCCATCAATCTGTCCATGTAGATGTAGCATTATTCTTATTCTATCTTCAAACTGCATCTTCACTTTTAAGTTAATTCCTCTATAATAAATACACTATTATCAGAAGCTTTTTGCCTCAAATATAATAATTTGTCAGCATTTTATAATAAAATAGAACAATAAAAAATGACATTTGAAGGTAAAAAATCATAATAAATATAAACAAGTATATAGAATTTGTGGGATGAAAGTTGTGCCCGTGCATTTATTCTCGTTTAATTATCTTTCCATCCAAAAATGAGATTATTTCAGGCATCAAATATAATGTCGATTAATGAGAACGAGAACGGCATGCATTAGAGTGCAAATCATATATGTATATACATAGTCATGAATTCATTTCACCATCTTGAAACGTGCAGCCTCGATGTGGGTTTCCATAGGTTTTCACCTTTCTCTTTTAAGTCAAGTTCCTGGCTCTGCACAAAAGAATAAGAACAAATTAACATAACAACTGTACTATGAATTATAGAATAAAGATGGAAAAATTATCTGACTGGAATAATCAGTTCCTAGGGTCCATCAACCTACTAGCAATGGGGGAGAAAACATAACATGTCGCAATAAAAGCTTAATTCGAGTATTAAAAAGGGAGAATTGTAGCAGAGGTCCCTAACCTTTTTATTTTTTGTAGAATTTACCCTAATCTTCATTTTGTGCCGACAGAGGTTCCTAACCTTTCATAAATACGCATCTGAGGTCCATCTAAATAGAAACCATCCAAAACACCGCTAATTAATCGAAAAAAATTAAGGAATCAACGTCCAATAAAACCATCCAAAACGTCGTCCAAAAACACCGTCCAGAAATGTTTCAAGATCCAATAAAACCATAGTGGTAGCAGATAGTTTAAGAAATTTCCCTGGTCAACTGACGGTGTTTTGGAAAGTTTCCGTCCAGATGGACCTTATGTGCATATTTATAAAAAGTTAGGAACCTTCGCTGACACAAAATGAATATTAAGGTAAAGCCTGCAAAAAACGAAAAGGTTGGGGACCGCTGCTGAAATTTTCCCTAGTAAAAATAGAAAACACTTTTTGAAAATTTTCCAATGCTAGTGTGCATAGCCAAGATATGCTCTTAATAAAATAAGACTACGGACAGAGTTTGGATGCATAAATGTTCTAAAGCTAGTTTCTCGAGGTTTCTTTCTGCTACCATAACATTTTATTTTATTTTATTTTATGACGGGAGAACCTGCAGCCGCTACCCTTTGGGTACGCACTGGGTAAACCCTTAAGCTGACGCAATAGTTTGAAAATCACGCCAGCCAAGTAAACGCACTAGGCAAGCTCGGTGTGATAAGCTCGACTGAGAAAATGTTGGTAGGGAGAATCGAACTCGTGATCAAAAGCCTCCACGCTTACCTACTACACCAACTCGACCATCCTATGAGGGGCTGCTACCATAACATTTGCATGGACCAGACATGGTTAAGGGATAGAAATGAGCTTCATGAAAAAACTTTCTTGGGAGACCCCTTTTTTTGTCAAAGTTTGGAGTAAGGATCGATTATATTTCATTTTGTGCAGATCACAAAACAAAACATACCTGGGAGAGAATCTTTGACTGTTATATAGTCTTCTAGATCATGAAAAAATTATAATAGGCACAAAATCTTATGGTTGACAATCTGCCAGCTCCTTCAATAGAGATACAACATCAGCCGATGATCCAAGAAGATATCTCGCATTGGAGCGTTTTCGTCCTACTGCACAAGAGAAGTAATTGTCACCCTTGAGATCAAGAACTGATGAGCCTTCATGCATTGTCATACGGTTACGAATCCTAGACAACCAGTTCCCATTTGTGTGATTGCTTGCTATCTTCTCTGGGTTCCGATAGGATATAGGAGGTTTATGGTGGAATGATACGAGACCATTTGTCCCGGTTGATAGATTTGTAACAGTTCCATTTACAGAATTGACCATCTTGGCTCTTGGAGTCGGTGTTGGTCCAGAAGGAAGCTCTGGTTCGAAGAACGTATAAATGTCCTCATCCTGAAACACGCTTACAGTTGTAAGGTACTCAGTCACCCTATTCTTCATAATAAAAAGAAGAGTCCTAAAAAAATTGCAACATTACATGGTTTTGGTTTTTTGTTTATGGATATCCTCCTTAACCTCACCAATTTATTCTCATTAAGTGATACTTATAAAGCCACAACTAATGCGAGTAGATACAGATATATTTATGCCTTTGTCCCCTTTTCTTCTTCGATGGCATTTCTCCCTCATGTACACTGAATTATTTTATGGGAAGGGAAGCTCACTCGAAAAGAGGGAGAAAAGAAGCCTTCCCAACCATATAGCCGAACAGAATAAGTGCCCTAATGATTATAAAACTTGCACAAAGTCAGAAAAATATGATCACATACCTTTGGCAGAAAATGTCCAATGCACAAGACATGATCAATGGGTGCTTTCACATGATTGTGGTGAACTATTTCCCCGAGAATTCTGTCAATTGCTGCTCCCTTTATACATAGGAAATAAAATGTGAAATCACTTGGATAACATAAAAAGTGAATATTATTACCAGAATACTTGCCTTGGTAACACCAACTGCTCGGACCTCAACAGATCGCCCGCCTTGGACCACATCTACAGAAGCATTTGATATTGGGCCTGTCAATAGATGCTGCAACATATCCTTCGCTTGAAGCCTCCCAAATTCAACGTCTATGGATACAATCATAGAACATTAATAAGAAATAAAATCTGAAAATGGAAATTCTAGTAGACCAACTCTTCTAGATGGAGAACAATGGAATCATATGAAACACAAATCACCTGCATACTTATAGTTCCACACAAGTGATGTTTCGCGGAGCTCAAAATGAGAACGGGGTGTCCTCTCAGTAAAATATTCAAACACATGCTAAAACAGACAGCAATAGATATGAGGATTTCATAATTAAAGGTAATTCACGTCGAGTTCTAGTTATCTAATAAGGCACCTTAACGCTGTCAACCCAATCCATATTTAGACTTTCAGGCATTGTTGTCATCCAATCTTCCTTTGTAAACCTCAAAAACATCCCGTGTTCTGCTGCCAGCCACATCTTATATTCTCCAAAATTCTGAAGAATATCTATAATCAATGCATTGAATATGCTAATAACAAAGCGAATCATATGTGAAAACAGTAAACCTCATCAAGAACACTGCGGTCACTTCCACTAAGGACAATTGTCGTGGTCTTTGGGTCATCACAGATCTTTTTCAAGGGTTCTATCAAATCTGGGTGCAGCTTAAGCTCCATTTCTTTGAATTGATCAATCCTTCTCCCTTGGGAATCTACAGGTTCTGTTAATGTTCCATTGAATCCCTGTGATAAATTAATAGAAATATAAGTAGAAAATGGGTATAAGTTCAACATATTGCTTGGATAAAAAGATTAGAACTATGCTATTTCGATATGGGCGATCTTTATGCACAATAACAATTTTTGTGTCCTGAATCTTGATTACTTTCCACTTTAGTACTGGCAACTGTGATGTGGTTAGCGAGCCACTCACATAGCATAAATAAAGCAAATGCAATGAACAAGAAAAAAGCCAAATACACTGTTGAAAGGACAAGGCATGCCCACTATCACCCAAAGTTTTTGCTTCAGATGCATGAAGCAATTTGAATACTACACTAATCGTGACACGCGATATCCCAGAAATGATTTTGGACTTTTCTTTTCATTGGTCAAAATGAGTTAAGATGAAACTGCTAGTAAAAGATAACCTACTTAAATAAATTATTTTTATCCTGTGATTAAAGCTTCGATCACTTGCATACTTCTTGAGTGGATACATTAATGAGGGGTTGTAGAATTTTGAAAAATCCAAATACGCTAACCGGCAATTCAAGGGAGTGGGTGGATCAAGAAAGTAATACTGAATTGTTAACCCCTGTAAGTGAAAAATGAATACGAACTCTTAGTGAATATAGTAGGTATTTTCATACTTCAAAATATTTTCTCATTTTCTCCCAAAAGCATAGCCAATAACTCATCCTTTTGAAGATGAGACCAATTTCATGTGCAAGTTATTTCTTATAGCTACTTCCAATGCATTGTATCCATGTTTACATTTACCATCAATTAGTTATGGCCCCATTGTCCAGCATAAAGTCAGAATGGTCCCTGATCAACTAGCTTCATTGTTCGGGACTGTGAATAAGGAATAAACTCCTGTTAGAGTTGAAAAAAGACCATGACCATCAAGTCCTTGTACCAATATTTAAAATTGAAATGTGGGAGAAAGGCAAAAAGGTAAATGCCTTGTATTATAAATAC